CAGGCGGCGGGACTGCGAGGTCCCGCAGTCCGTGTCCTCCGGGGCAAGAAAAGCCCCATTCGTAACTGTGGATCCGACGTAAGTCGGATCCGCGTAAGTCGGGGACTGCCTGTATAATAAATAAAGCAATGAATTCATATTGTTGTGACTCTTTTGGGTAATGGTGATCACTAATTTCGCTCCTAAATCGCTGAGGTATAAGTACCACTGCAGTATTGGGCGGAATAACTGCTCATTCTTTGCACCGTTAGATACTTTTAGAGCAATTGTATGAAGTACCATTTGGCCTTTGGACTTAAAGAAATTTATGAATACATCAGTATTGAGTTAATATCCCTGTATTATTACTATCAATTCCAACATTAACTCTCTGGATAATAGTAATTTTCTCCTCTCTCAAGTTTTCTTGATACTGGTGTGTTGACTTTCACATTGGAGTATGAGTCACCATCTATGGATGGCCACAAAAGAATACATCATCTAAAATCTAGGCTTGAAATTCAAACCTCAACACCTAAACAAATGGCAGACATTACTTACTTCTTCTCTGGTGGGACATAATGAAGGTTCATGTTGACATGTGAAGTCATTTGATGGTGCCGAGATCTTTCATTGGCTGAGAATGCTGCATTAATGGCAAAATGCTTCACATACGACTCCAAGATAGTTATTATATTTCTCTGACAAGGCAATTTCACTAGCTGAAAAGGTAATTTGGTGACAGTCAAATAATGCAGTTATGGATTTAAGCAATAACCCACATTACCATGCCTAATTAATTAATCTCTACTCAGCAAAACTTTATACGTATATTTCAAAGTTGTTCCTTAAATTATAGCTGAATTATTTATCTGTCTAGTTTTAAGGATATCCCCTATAGTCTTCAAGAAAACTTTTTTTTTTTTGCGCTACATAAGCAAGTTAGCTAAAATAATGGAAATCACCACATGCAAGTGTGACTTGATAGCCTTCAGGTATTTTTTCTTATCTTCTCCCTCATGTAATTAATCATACCCGTTTCCTCCTGTTAATGTAATAACAGTCTTCTTCAAGCTTTTTTTTCAAGACTTCAGGAATTTCTATGCTTATTGCTCTTTCTTCCATGTCCCTTTTAGTGTGAATCTCTTGTTCTTCTTTCTGCAACAGCCGAAAACAGTGTAAGAAAAAAATAAAAGTGTCATTGATTACTGCAAGAGGTAAAACTCCATCAAATATTAACATTTATAAGAAACAGGAATTGACTCTTAACTACATGTAGGCTAAAATACATATAACAGTATAGTGAGTGAATGTAGATGGACAGTACACATAAGATAGTTCCTAACCAATAATATCTGCAATTTATTTAAAAGTTCTGCTTTAAAAATTCACTTATTTTTTACTGGTTTGCCTATCTGCTTTTTCCTCTTTCATGTTAAATTTGCTTATTATTAAAATTATCAATTGGGGCTGGTTTTCCATTTGTTTATATCTAATTTCACTTTCAATTGATCTCTATTGCAGTGCTTAGATTATAAACAACTCAGGTGCACCTGTTTCCACTGAAGTTTTTATACAGCGGAAATACTTTTACTAGTCTTAGATTCTTAAAAATAGGTCTAAATGTTAGTCTAATATAAAAGTCAGCAGTCTCTCTTTAAAGAAACGGTGTATATAAGCCATTAAAATACTGATGGCATTAAGATCTGCTTCCCCTGAAGAGACTAGTAACATTTTATACTAACTATAAATCTGGGTAGTGCTGTTCCCTGGCAAAACTCGAGTGGGAATAAAATGAGAGGAACAAGTCGAAGGTAACACATTTTGGATTGAGACTAATGCCATCTAAGGGAGTACAAAAGTTATATGGTTTTGAATAACTCAACCACAATAACTTTATTAAATACAACCAGAAATCATAAATTTTAGTCATGGCCCTATGACTACATGCTGCATGGCTTTGAGCAAATTAATTCATTTATCCTGTTTTAATTTTTCCAGTGCTTGAAACAAGTAAAGTATTAAGCATTATTAAAATTAAGGGAGCTCATAGGAATATACCATTTCTGTCCTCTCTTCAATGTCACTTTCTTCACTTTTTATTTCTTCATCTGTTCCTTCATCACTGTCGTCAGAAGAAGAACTACTTATAGCTGTTTGAGAGAGAAAAGAGTTATATTTGATATCTCACAAATTTATTCTGCATATTACATTGGACACAGTTTCATATCCAACAAATTTTTACTTTAACATTTAATTCAAGGCTGCAAGAGAGGTGGGTTTTTTTTGGGGGGGGGAGAAGAAAGGTGTCGTGTGTGTGTGCTGGAAGTATAAACTAGGAATGCTGAAAGCATATTTTAAATATTTTATCATACAGGAGCTTGGAAACTCTGTTTGAGCTTCCTATGATCAATTTTAATATAATCACTAATATATGCAAATTCACAACATTTTTAAACAACCAGTAGCTCTTTTTAATTTTCACTGCATTCTAGTTGTGAGCAAAAGGTTAGGGTACTGAACTTAAGAAGGTTGAAAGAAAAGGCTTTTAAATAAACCAGTATCACTTCATATACCCAAAATCAGGTTATGAGAGGTTAAGTCTCCTACCCATGTAGACTACTAATTCCTCTGCTCTAGTGCAGACCTAGGAAAGTTGTAGTGAGGAGGCATGGCTCCTCTCAGACACAGATGCTGAGGGATGGCCATACAAGCCTACACATTGATAGAGGAAAAAGACCAAAAATTACTACCAGCACACTGAAGACAAGAAAAGACCTCTTTAACACACAGGTGGGGAAAAGAGCTTATTGACCACTAGAAGTTCACGGCAAGCAGAAGTGGTAAAAGAGCAAGCATCAAGTTTCTTGCCCACCAGTCAAAGATGATAAGGGAAGCTGGGGCCAGACAGAGCAATACTAGTCACAGATCAATGGTACTTACGGCATTACTGTTCTCAGTGTTGCAACAACTATGTGCCTAAATTCTTGCTGAATGAGATTTAAGCTCATAAATTAGCTGTTTACATACAGAGCAACAACACCTGAATAGATTTTAAAAATCTGGGCCAGAGTGACCAGAAGAACTGAGTGAAGGAGAAACAAAAAAGAGTATTGTCTGCCTCTAGGATATGGAGAAGACAAGGGTTCTTGGTGTAATATCTGCTCATTTTTTAAACAAAAATATATTTCATGTTATATTAACGCTCTAGCCAATAATTACTGCTTATAACACCAAACCCAGTGGCAAGTCAAATTGTTCAATTTGCAGTTACAGTAAAATGCTTTTTTTATGAATGGAGAATTGAGTTAAGAAAACAATCTCTCGGTAGATACAAGGTACAATATGATGCTTTGCATGATTTTCTTTTTGTTCTTCAAATTACTACAGTGTTAGCCAACACAATGAAGGTATAAGAATGTGCAGCGATGTCAATGTTCATTATATGTCCAACCCTTTCATCTACTCAGGAAAAATTGTCACATATCTAGTTCATCATAAAAGTGGAATTTGTAAAATTGAGATGCTACTGTAGTTTAGTAAGTTAACAATTCCATAAAGAGAAAGATGTAAGTGTTGTCAAACTAACAGAAAACAACTCACAATTATCACTACTTTCATCATTTTCCTCAGCTGGAAGGCTTTTTAACACAGAGTCAACACCAGGCAACCGACAACGTCTCTTCTTCCTTCCCTTTCTTCTCCTAATAAAGAATTTGAGTGAAATGTTCAATCTGTCATTACTCCATTTGTTTATTACTGCCATCATAGTATAAGCAGCAGTGCTATATGCAAAAGCAAGAAAAATATAAGCACAGATGATGAATGTTTGTGATTATATAGGTGTCAAAATTAATTTACTCAAGGGACTATATTTGATGGTGGACACATCAATGTTTTTACATACCCTGTTCTTCTCTGTAGCCATAAAAGGCTAGCTAGCATTGAAGATAGATCTTTCTTTTCCCAAAAAGAGCCCTGAATCAAGACTTCCCAAAGCACTTTTCAGCGATGTTTCTTTGAAAGGATGTGGTTCCAGTACATATGAATTTTTTTAACACTAAGTCTTCTCTTTAAGAACTGATACATAGTTAATCTGAATGAAAGCCACCAGAAGTAGAGATAAACAAAATCCTTACATGCGAGCTACAGCTTTTCTTGCCAATTTACGTTGTAATCTGCGGTTTTCGTCTGTATCACGAAGTACATGATCTTCAGCTGCCCATCTATCCCAGCTAAATATGGGGCCAAAAAAAAAAAAAAGTGTTAAAAATCAGAAACTGACTTTACTAATAAATACTAAACAACAGATTTACATTTATCTACAAAGTAATATTGTAATGCTCTTCAGAAGAACAATCTGGAATTAAATGGTGCTATGACAGATTTGCATCTTTTGACATCATCCTTGGGTTGGAATTAAATGGTGCTATGACAGATTTGATCTTTTGACATCATCCTTGGGTTTGAGTTTTTTTGGTTTTTTTTTGTTTTTTAAGAAAAATAAAGCCATTTCTCCTTAACTTTAGAAGTTATGAAGTATTTGAAGCACTGAGAGAATGGTAAGGAATATCCTTTCAACATTAGAATGTTTCCAGCCTTTACCATCAAGCACTTTAGTTTACCAACACAGAGTTTAACTTTCCAAACACAGGAGCCACAAACATATGTCAACATGAATGAATTAGTCTCTCAGAAAATATATGTAAAAAGTATTCACAAAATAAAAATTACTGAAATCCTCCATTATAGAATTATTTCTTCCTATGAAGGCACTGTAATCTTTCTATTGAAGTGTTCCCACTTCATATAAAATTGTTAAAGAGAAGATTGTTAAATTATTAAAGCTTCTAGATCAGTTACAGAAATTTAAGAGGACCACTAAGCCACATTTTGAATGATAAAACCCAACCTAACATGAAAGAAAAATGATTAGTTAAGCAAACAGGCAAGCAATTACCAGATATAACTTGAATGTTTTCTAATTACACTCAAAGATGAAAATACAGGCAGTCCCCGAGTTACACGGATCCGACTTACGTCGGATCCGCAGTTACGAACGGGGCCCTCCCTCTCCCTGGTCTCCAGCAGACCGGGGAGAGGAAGCAAAGCAGCGGAACACGCGCGCAGCGGACAGCCCAGACGCGAGGCTCTTGTGGCATGAGAGCTTGGGGTACCCACGGGGGAGGAATTCAAGTGTTCCTTCCTGGTTTTTCAGGGTTCCTTAAAATCACTTGATGGTGGCAGCCTATTTTCCAGAGCCAATGCATGTGTGACTCTGGGGCTTTTTTTGGGGGGAGGGGAGGAAGCAGGGCCTATAGAGGCAACGTATTTAAGGTCTTTTGCAGGCCCCAAACCTTCTGTACTCCGAGTACCAGAGTGGAGAACAGCCCAGACAAGCCCCATTTGTGACATTTTAAGTACAATCTCAAAACGTAAATGGCAATACTAAGCCAGTGCAGTGGAAGAAATGAGATCAATTAGAAAGTCAATAAAATAATTAAAGAATCAATAATGAAATCTGAAAAATAAAAGTTAATATATAAATTTGAACACCCTTTGGCTTCCTGGAATCAGCTGCTGATCAGTTTCAGCAGCAGCTGACTTGGGGATGCCTGGGGGTCTTAAGTTGAATCTGTATGTAAGTCAGAACTGGCATCCAGATTCAGCCGCGGTTGAAACTGATCAGTTTCAGCAGCGGCTGAATCTGGACGCCAGTTTCGACTTACATACAGATTCAACTTAAGAACAAACCTACAGTCCCTATCTTGTACGTATCCCGGGGACTGCCTGTAGTGTATCAACAGGTTGAAGTATTGACTTAAAGTCCTGGAACCTAACAGTAGCCTTTTGATGTTAATAGGCGGCCTCCTGCAATTTAGCAAGGCTACAACTAATTAACTTTAAACTGCCCTATACAATAACCATATTCCTACCACCTTCATATTTTCTCTTTTCTGTTACACATCATTTAAATAAATATCTGCATCAATGTCCTTCACGTACTTTCAATATAAAAAGCATTTTAATAAAACGTTCACAATTTTTAAAAGCACTCATTAAAAACTTTGCTCAAAACACATGCATCCAAAATATAATGGTAACGTAACTCTGGCTTTTGCCCAGCCTCTTACTTCCCCATAACACTAACAACTTCTATTTCCTATATTCCTCTACACTTGGGCTAAGTAAGGCTACATCTACACTACAGTTCAGATTGAGGCGCTGAGATCAATGCACTGACAGTCAATTTAGCAGGTCTTGTGAAGACCCACCAAATCAAGTGCAAATTGCTCTCCAATAAATCCATTTACCCCATGAGAAGAGTAAGTTAAGTCAGTGGGAAAGTGTCTTGCATAGACCCCCACATGGTGCAGAAACTTACAGTAATGCTACATAAGGTAAGTTGACTCTAGCTACATTATTCACATAGCTGGAGTTGTGTACCTTAGATTGACTTACTGTGGCAATGTAAACCTACCCATAGTCCCCAAACCTGAGGGCTAGTCTACACAAATTTCCAATGAGTGTTTGCACTGCCAAGTCACTCCAGTCTACCTAAAAGGCTTTTAAACCCCTATATTCCACCTGAATAAGTGGAGAAAAACCTCAGGTGACACGCCCACGTCAAACTAAGGGCAGTGTAAACATAGTGTACTGTAATTCGGAGTTACTAGCTGCTGGGTGGTGATCCAGAGCACTCCCTTGCGAACACTCAAGTGAGCACTCTGATCTCCACTACTCTTCAGCCTGGTGAGCAGGAAAATCCTGGAGGAATTTAAAATATTCATTTCCTACAGAAGCAGTCATGCATGCCCAGGGTCTCAAACACTTCCAGCATGGAGCATTCAAGAGACGGTGGATCTTATTGCTGTGAGGAGGTGGGGTGGAGGAGTCTGTGCAGAGATACTCCAAACCAGCAAAAGAAACTATACCAAAATTGCACTGGGCTTGGTGGATAAGGGCTACAACAGGGACACACAGCAATGACATGAAAATAAAGGCTCTTAGACAAATGTGTCACAGGACAAGGCTGGTTCTGAGCCACAGACATGGGAGGCAGACAACATGCTCCCATAACCACCCACCACAATGCTGTCATCCCATGAGGCATTGGGACCCTAGCCCAGAATTCTGATCTGATTGAAGGACTGTGGGATAGCGAACCCCCAGTGCATCACTTCTTGAGTCAATGCAACCCTTGGCAGCGAGGATATGCTTGGTCAACCGCAGCCACCTAATGGGACATCCAAAATTGCATTCGTTAAATCAAGATGATTAAAATATGATTTTAAAACTATTTAAATAAAATTGATCTAATTTTGTAGTGTAGACAGCCCTAACTCCTACTTATTTCTTACCCTGTGCCATCTAGTAGTCTACAAAACACAACTGAAAAGATAGTGTAAATACAAAAGCTTGTTTAAACATAAAGATGCAACATATATTCTCACCTTCTGTTCCAACCATTAAAATGAATCAGATATTCTGGAATTTTTCTGCCCTTCTCATCTTTTCCAACAATAATATCAACAATCTGAAACCAAAAACAATGAGTCTGTCATAAGAAAGACTACAGTGAACTTTCTATAGAAATTAGTATTTAGGGAATGGGTTTGGGGGTGCAAAAAAGAATGTACACTTAAGAGTAAATGGAAAACTAGCGTATTGCCTCTGAGCATCCATATGGTAGGAAATGCGCTCAGTCCAGAGCCCAAGGAGTATTAAGAACAGCAAAGATGACAAAGTTTGCATTAAAGATGTAAGGGTACGTCTAAACTACATGGCTCCGTCGACGGAGCCATGTAGATGTGTTTATTTGGCAAAGGGAAATGAAGCCACGATTTTAATAATCGCGGCTTCATTTCAATTTAAATGGCTGCCGCGCTGAGCCGACAAACAGCTGATCATCTGTTTGTCAGCTCAGCACGCTAGTCTGGACACTCCCCTGTCGAAATGAAAGCTTTTTATCGACATCCCCGGTAAACCTCGTCCTACGAGGCATAACGGGGAGGTCGATAAAAGGCTTTCAGGTCGGTGTGGAGCATCCAGACTAGCGCACTGAGCCGACAAACAGCTGATCAGCTGTTTGTCGGCTCAGCGCGGCAGCCATTTAAATTTAAATGAAGCCGCAATTATTAAAATCGCGGCTTCATTTCCCTTTGCCTATCTGTCTAATCTACATGCCTCCATCGACGGAGGCATGTAGTCTAGACACACCCTAATAGTGCAGTCCAGGAGCGGCCAACCCATTACAGGCAAAGAGCCAAAATAGTTGTGAATATAGAGCAAAGAGCTGGAGGGGGAACAGTTGTCAAACAAAAAAAGAGGACTGCCCCTTTAAGAAACACATTTAGAGGCTTTTTCATCACATCAGGCTCCCGATGGCTGACGCCATCTAGAATATGCCATTTTTAATGGCCGCGCCAGATGGCTCCCCTGCCCTGGTGAACACAGGGAGCCAGGAACCGTTTTCAGAGGTGCAGGGAGGAGGGGCTTCACGAGCCACACTTTTGAGAGGAGAAAAGCCTGTGTGTAGTCAATTAACTGATAAGCAAAAGCTTATAGGTTAATTCTGTAGACCAGTGTTTCTGAAAGTGCTCCACTTTGAGAAACACATTAACTGGCCACCCTGGTTGGTTTATTTATCAGCCCACAACGCTTCCCCGAAAGAGCAAAACAGAGCCAATGGGAGCAGCGAGGCTCTGTGGCTGTGGCGCTGGTAAATAAACAAACCAGGGCAGCCAATTTATGTGTTTCTCGAAGTGATCTTGCGGAACACTTTCAGAAACACTGTTATAGACCACACGATTTCTCCCCACCCTTCTCAGTAATTTTTTAGCAGGCTGGCCAGCAGCCCGGCTAAGTCCTAGCTCGCACTGGGTCCTAGACCTACCTCCGCTGTGGCTCTGCATTTAAAGCATATTAGGACCCGGGTGGGCAGGCAGCTTGGGTCAGTTATGGCTCACGCCGGGTCCGGGAGCTCAGTCCCCTCAACTGTTTTTAGTTTCATTTAAAAAATATTTTGGTTTGTGGAACTAAGCTTGATGGGACTAATATTTCAAGTGTGTCACGCTCCCACTCTCTTTTACGGGCCAGACTACCTCATCACCAATTGAATCAACTCAGTGCAGCATAAGATTTGTGGTCCAACTAGGAATCCAAGACTACAGAAGAGAATGGGTACGAAGTTCCAGAACAACAACTCTCATTAAGCAATGTACCAACAAAGTCAGATGCAGTTTAACACTGAACAAAGCCAAAATAAAAAGTGTTAATTCACAAAAGAGAATTTTTGAGACATGTCCAAAATGTTTCAGATTTAGAACATTCCATTTCATGAAAAATAAATTGTTAGTCTCTTCATCCATATTTGGGATTAAAAAAACCCTCGATTTTCTGTGGACTGGAAATTCTGGTTGACCAAGTTAAAGTAACTCATCTTTCTTCCACACTTTTTTCTAAAAGCTCCACACCTTTCTTTAAAAAAAAATTATGAACAGGGGTAAAATGAACTTAAATGTCTTAGAGGTACTGTCCTATTGCAACCCAGGCCCCTGCCAGCTCATTTTTTAAACATCTTCCTGCTGGCTTTTGCCACAGTTCAGCCAGCTCTTGATTGAGCTGGGGATGCTCCAGCTTACTTTCACCTGCTTATAATGCTGAGAAATTAACCCCTTTACTGCACAAGAAATTAAGCACTTAGGGTACATCGACATTGCAGTTATTGCTGAATACCTGAGGTATCCCAAAATAGCTACCCTGCATCTACAAGCCGCCGGTTATATTAAAATATTTTTTGAAATAACAGGCGTGCTATTTTGCCATCCCGGTAAACCTAGCTGCATGCGGGATAAGGGATGGCTCGAAATAGCAGGTTATTTCAAAATCTAACACTGGGTAGATGCGCCAAGTTACAAAATAAGCTATTTCGAATGAGATTCGAGCTGAGATGCGCACAGTGCGTCTCTTATTTCGAGTTTAGGGTGCTGTGTGGACGCGCCCTTAGCCGGCCCCTTCGCCCCACCTGCTTCTCCTTCACTCTGTCACTGGCAGCCCCAAGCTCAGGTGCCCCGGGAGCAGGCAGGGCGGCAGCACTGAGCTCTGGGCTGGAGGCGGCTGCTATGCAGAGCTCAGGGATACAAGGGGGAACCGAGGGCGGAGGCGTGTCCGGCCCAGGCCCGCTGCCGGGCCGAGCCTTGCCCTGCCGGGGGCCGGCCCCGCTCA